TTCCATTGATGCATTCTGACAAAGTTACCGACCCGTTGTTTCAAAATGACGTCTTTTTTTAAAAATTGGTGACTGAGTTTCTTACTTGCATTTACGTAACTTTTCACTCCACACACAGAAAAGAAGGAGCGATACCGATCTGTAAATTCCTTTCTACTCGTTCTTGGGATTTCATGAACATCAGTGGAGCCACAACCTTTGTTTGCAGCGTCGTCACCACGCAGTTTTAGTGAAGTGGGACATCAACACAGAGCGTGTGCAGCGCCTCGTCACTGAGACTTTGTGGTTTAATGTGTTTCACGCTTTACGAGAGGTTTTATTTTGGCTCCGAAGGGCCTTTTATCTGCTCGTCTTGCTTCCTGTCTTTCCAGTGTGGGTGTTTTGTTCCCGTATAGTATTTAGCAAGTGCTGTCAAATGAGAAGTGTTACCCTGGTGGTTGCAGCAGAACTGCTTCAGATGAGTAGTAGTTTGACGTTTTGTTTTTGTAGTTTTTAACTTTTAAATGTCACTGAAACTAGATCACACAGATCTGCAGGATGGTGTGGTTAAAGCATTGCAATGTCCGATTTCACCTTGTCACCATCCTTCACGGTGTGTAATAACTGAGGCCAGCGTGACGTATGCAACGAAACAGAGAACCGAGCGTGTAGTTGACCCAGAATTATCTGAACTAATCAACAAAACTATTTGAACGTGTGTGACTCAGGGAGAAGTAGGTCATGCAGTCTGTCGATTTACATAATTTAGGATAATTTTACATTTCTGCGTTAACCAACAGTGCGCTCAGGGCTGCAAAGGTCACGAAGCATTTACACTGTGAGCAAATGTTAAGCTGACACGGAGACCCCCATGACAGAATACACTTGTGACAGATTTACACAAGTGGGTTGAATGTTTCCACAGGAAGTCTTTTGTTTAAAAAAAAAAAAAAAAAGACTATTTGCACTTTTCAATTTGACGAGAGACAATTTTGCTGACGTGTTCAGACTCTCACCAGGAAGTTTCCAGTACCGTTCAGATTCGTTGCCACGGGTTTAACGATTCCTCAGAAAAATGTCACATGGCATGTCTGTTAGTCCAGTTTGAATTTAATTTGAAAAGAAATCTGGATGTTTTCTTTTTTCTTTTTCCATAAATGACAAATATGTTTTGGTACAACCACCAAACTAAAACTGTGAAAAAAATGACAAAAGTTATAAACGTTTTGGTCAAACCTCGAAAACAATGCACATGCTCATATGATATTACCGTATTTTCTGGACTATAAGACGGACCAGATTATAAGGTGCATTAAGTGAAACGAAATCATTTTGACAGATTTTTGAGCACAGAGTACCACATAAAATCAGTTCGAGGTCAGTAAACACAACCAGAATTAATACATAAGGTGCACCGGATTATAAGGCTCATTGTTGATTTTTGAGAAAATTAAAGGATTTTAAGTGCAGCTTATAATCCGAAAAATACGGTACATGATTTACACCAAGAGTGTGTTTAATTTTTTTTTAAAATTTCCTTTATTTATACAGGTTAGTCTCGTTGAAATGCAGTTGCCTCATTTGCAAAAGAGACCAGTTATACAAAACTAAAACAATACAACCAATAAAATACATTAGTAAAAATATATAAATATCAAAATAATCATATTAAAAAAACTGGGAGTGACTCTCAGCTACAACCACATCAGATTTTAGCTCAGTGTATGTAAAAGCTGCCATTTTGGTCCAACTTTGATTAACTGCAGTGGCTGTTTTTTTTTTTTTTTTTTTTTTTTTTTGGTTTGACTCCAAAGTTTGTAATTTTACACCCAATGATCATCTTCAACAAGTTTCATTAAAATCCATCTGTGGTTCAGGAGATATTTTACTAGCAGACAAAAACAATGTAGCCCACTTTTTGTTGGCAGGCGATGATGAAAGTGTTTAGTAACCAGAATAAAAATTTAAACCAATTGACAACCCTTAACTTTTAGTACACTAAAATACAAGATGGCATCAACATTCAACACAAATATAGGCCAGATTTTCAAGGTTTAATAATTTTTACACATTTCTTAAAGCTTATAAATGTTCTAGTGGCTGAGCTGTAGTTCCAGTAAATACAAAGCTCCACGTGATGGTTCTCAGATGTTTCCCTGACGTTACCGTTTTAGCAACTTTTGAAGGACCAGCGTTCATTTATGAACTGGGACGTTTTGGGAGATTATTTGTTTCTAAACAGATATCTGAAGGATTTGTACGCAGAAAGTTTCAGCTACATTTTATTTGTACTGCCTAGAATGCAGTTTTGGAAGCCGTGCACACAAAAATACCTTGGCGGTGCAAAATGCAGCCGCCTGGCTCATTGGTCACAAACATTGGGGAAGTTTTCCACAAAACCCAGTGGTGGAAGGCCAATAGAAGGTGCTACCCCACCACTCATTACATTACCTTGAATAAGAAATTAAAAAATAAAATAAAAATATTTCAAAATATATGTATATATATATATATTTATTTTTTTTGTTGTTGTTATTTAAGATAAATATTTTATAGTTAATGATGAGTTAAGTTGGTTCTTTCAAAAACTTTGTCTGCTTGGTGATGACATATTTCTGCCCTGAGGTGCAAACATCTTTGCCCATAGACTCTCGTTAAAAGTTGTACATGCGCAGTTAGCTCCTCTTTATTACAAGATGTAGGATCATTCTGGGCGCTCCTCTCCTGCGCCCAGAGCTGAATGCACAGTACAGATCGTGCTTCCGGTCCGGAACAGATCGTGGACACTCACAACAAATGTTTTTGCTATATTGTGTGCTAGGGTGCAATACACATTAGGACCTTTACTATTAGGAATAATTAAGAGTACTCAAATAATGAACTTGATTCTATTTATATTATGAACGTATATTACTATAGTAATGATGATAAAATATGTACGTGTATTGCTAATATTTATGATGGTTTTTGGTACTGATAAAACTCAGGGTTATTGATTATTCGGTCTGTTTCACACAGGCCAGGTTCCTGTTTCCATGTCTGTTGCTGAGCTAACCCTAGTTTCAAACCAGGAGATCGGTTGAATCCCCATAGCTCCTTCCAGGGCAGTAGGAAGCGCTTACTGAGATCACAGATCTCTTTTGCAAGGGAGGCCTGGGCCTGAAGGCAGCCTAACATGCATGTTTTTGGTCTGTGGGAGGAAACCGGAGTACCCGGAGAAAACCCATGCAAGCATGAGAAGAACATACAAACTCCACACAGAAAGACCCCAGGTCGAACCGTCTGTCTGGAGTTATAGCACCCCCCCCCCCCCCCCCCCCGGAGAAAACTCCACCAGCTGCCACTAACAAAATCCCACAAAAGATGTAAATTGCTACTTTAAATGAATGCTTTATGAGGGTTTTGCAACGTTTTTCTAAACCGCATTTGGAATGCAGTTGAACATTAGGAACTCTTTAGAAACCTTGAGGAAATGCTTATTGAATTTTTAGGATTCAGTCTCTTGAATCATTTCATGTCACTGCAGCTGGATGTTATTTTTGTTCAACATTTTGTAAAAAGCCATCTGTCATTCTGGTGTGGGAAGGTTTAATGACAGATTAAATAGAAAAGTTCCCGTGCCTTGTTTCTTGTTTTGGTCTCCACCACCTCACATGTGCAGCACGCTTCATCTTGCTGGCTTGATTTGACCTGAACATATTCTGACTGAAGTCAGCAGGTTTCCTTTAAACTCTTCATTTGCATATGGTGGTCAGCGTCTGCACACATCTTCAGAGAGGTGGTCTCACAAGGTCATAAATAGTTCAGTCTTAACACAGCTTAAGTTCTCTGCTGCTGTTTCGACAAACGAGTTAACATGAGGAGGGTGACACCCACGCTTGTTTTACCAACAGTAGCAGAAAGCCACTGCCACCCCCTTTTTTTTTTTTTTACATGACTTACAGGAAAGCCACACTTCACAGTTTAAGAAACACCTCATACTTTCAAGTAAACTGCACCCTCAGTACCTGCTGGCATGTCGTTTCTGGCCATGTGTTTTTATGCAGTGATCTTTACAAGCTGAACACGGTTGCTCTTGAAACAGTCTCTGTATTGGAAATTAAAATAATTTTATGCATTTAAGAATTTAAGACAAAAAGCACCATAAACAAGAAATCATAGATTAGTGTAGTTGCTGAAATGGTGCAAATTTGCATGTAGGAGTTTAAGTTCAAGGTATATTGTGACTTAACATCCTGAGGCCAGGTGGTGTCAGGAAGAGAAAATGATCACTGGTGATCCTTGAACAGAGCTGCTAGAGAAACATACACATGCAGCTTAAATCGTTTTTATACCTGCATATCATATCAAACCAAATCATTTGAAAAGGAACCACAGATTAACCAAAATGATGGCAGTCTGAAGTAAAAATAAAATCATAAAATTATGTTGCCCAATACGGATTTTAATAAATACCAACAGAAAGCGGTATAAAACGTCACAGATGTATGGCTCTGGATACAAAAAGATTAAATGTTGAGTGAACCGATAAATTAGAAGTAAATGAATGAAAAAGTATGCTGTTCACACCAACAGAAACCAGTTCAATGTTGAGATAATGTAGATCAGATAAAACTGATATCACTTGGGAAGATTCATTCAGGGAACTTAAACCCTTGAAAACATCACGTGAACGACTCGGCACCAAACTTTAGCTCGTCACTGACTTTACAGACTCCAGCTCAAAATCAGTTCTTTTGAGACTCCGAATGTAGTCCTCTCGTTAGAAATCCCATTTTAATTTTTATCCCATAAGTCGAGGCTTGAAGTTCAATTCCAGTAAACTATCATCAATGTTAATGTTCCAAGGTAAAACTTCTGAACCTGAAGTTAAACTGAGAACAGGGAAACTTTGTTGAAAACTGAAGTCACACTGGAACATTTTAAAATGTACCCATGCTACTGTCTCCATCTAGTGGTCAAATGATGAAACAGTCTGAAGAGAGCCAAGTGTATACAATATAATCAAGTACCCACAAAAACAAGGTATTACATGTTTATTTTCTTTGCAAAAACAAGACTTGTAATACAGGCCAGCCTGAACTCAGGCAAAAGAATTGAACAGTCCTCTCTCCATGCAGCATTGCACATGAACTGAATTTCCCCCCAAACCCCCTGGACGTCAACAGACAATGGAATCAAACAGTCCAGTATTCAGACATTTAACACAAACATTAAAGTTGGAGCCACAGTACTTAAAAAATAAAGAATGTCACCTTGAACTTTCACAGCAAAGAAAAAAAAATAAAAAAAATTCTCAAACGGTCTAGCAGCGCAAGGCTCCAGTACCAAACACTGGTCCTCTGCACCACGGGAATGATTTACAGTTACTGCACTTTTAAAAGAATTAACTACCGGAAGATGAGTAAAGTGTTTAAAGTCAGGGGAGGTGAGTTTAATCAACTTCTTCCATGCGTGAAGCATCATCATCGCCCTCCAGAGGGGGCATCTCCTCTGGGACGGACGTCGAAGTCGTCTCTTCTGTTGGAACGTCATCGTCGTCGATGCCTGAGGAACCAATACCCACGTTAGTTTAATTCATTAATAATTTAATAATCTTTAACACGCTGCAACTGCTGGCGTGTTCTTACCCAAGCCGAGCTTGATCATTCTGTAGATGCGGTTGGAGTGGGTCTGTGGATCGTCGAGGGAGAAGCCTGAGGACAGCAGAGCCGTTTCAAACAGCAGGACAACAAGGTCCTTCACAGCTTTGTCGTTCTTATCAGCTTCAGCCTTCTGCCTTAGTGTCTCCATGATCGGGTGATCAGGGTTGATCTCCAGGTGCTTCTTGGCCATCATGTAACCCATGGTTGAGTTGTCCCTGAGCGCCTGGGCCTTCATGATCCTCTCCATGTTGGCTGTCCAGCCGTAAGTGCTGGTCACAATACAGCAGGGAGAGGACACCAGTCTGTTGGACACGGTCACCTGGAGAGAAGAGAACATTTGAACTCAACACCAAGTTGAGACTAAAATCCTCATCACAACATTCTTTAGAGTTTGAGTCCCCCCCCAGTTTAACAAAGATGATGCCAACCTTTTCTACTTTCTTGTCAAGGATCTCCTTCATGAGCTTGCAGAGGTTTTCGTATTTGGCCTTGTCCTCCTCCATTTTTTTCTTCTCCTCCTCATCTTCTGGCAGCTCCAGGCCCTCTTTGGTGACAGAGACCAAGGTCTTGCCATCAAACTCCTTCAACTGCTGGATGCAGTACTCATCGATTGGTTCGGTCATGTACAGAACTTCGAAGCCACGCTTGCGGACACGCTCAACAAAGGCAGAATTGGCCACCTGGTCCTTGCTCTCACCTATAAAAATAAAAACATCAGGGTTGCTCCAAGACTATTTAACATATTTAACCTTTTTACTGTAAAACTCACTTAAAAAAAATAAAATAAAACATACCAGTAATATAGTAGATGGACTTCTGGTTTTCCTTCATGCGGGTCAGGTACTCTGTCAGAGAGGTTGTCTCGTCTCCAGACTGGGAGCTGTGGTAGCGCAGCAGTTCAGACAGCTTCTTACGGTTTTGAGAGTCTTCATGGATGCCCAGCTATAAATACAGTAAAATATATACAGAGAGAAAAACATCAGAAAAATAGTAAAGTAAAAATGTATTTTACACGTTTAAGATGGAAATGCTTGATTTATTGAAAATATGCTTCAATACCAACCAAGTTTTTAGACACATGATAGGAAGCTGCGTGGTACCAACTACTATAGAGGAATGACTAAACCTTAAAATCCACATCCACTAAAAACTAGTAGTTTAAATCAATACGTTTTATTTGCTGCAGGCTCAGACTAATTACTCACCTTCAAGTTCTTTGAGAAAGCCTCGTAGAACTTCTTGTAGTTCTCTTTATCCTCAGCCAATTCTGCAAACAGCTCCAAACACTTCTTGACAATGTTTTTGCGGATGACCTTCAGGATCTTGCTCTGCTGCAGCATCTCTCTGGAGATGTTCAGGGGCAGGTCTTCTGAATCCACAACACCACGGATGAAGTCTGAAATTAAAAAAAATAAAAACAAAATTCAGCATTACACTTTAAGTAGCATTAATCTTAATTTTTCAGTAAAACAAGGATGAGCTTACTCAGGTACTCTGGGATGAGCTCCTCGCAGTTGTCCATGATGAAGACTCTCCTGACGTACAGCTTGATGTTGTTCTTCTTTTTCTTGTTCTCAAACAGATCAAAAGGTGCACGACGAGGAATAAACAGCAGGGCCCTGAACTCCAGCTGGCCTTCAACTGAGAAGTGCTGTAAGGGAGGATTGAGAACTTTAGCTTAGACACACCTTCAGTCCATTTTAGCCACAAACCAAGAAACCAACGTCTCTTTAAAAAAGTGCCAATTACTTTGACAGCCAAGTGATCTTCCCAGTCGTTGGTCAGACTTTTGTAAAACTCGCCATATTCCTCATTTGTGATGTCATCAGGGTTCCTGGTCCAGATGGGCTTGGTTTTGTTCAGCTCTTCCTGATCGATGTACTTCTCCTTGATCTTCTTTTTCTTCTTCTTGTCCTTGTCTTTGGAGTCCTCCTCATCATCTGATCCTACATCCTCAATCTTGGGTTTGTCCTCGCCATCCTCTTCCTTCTTCTCCTCTTCGGCTTTTTCCTCCTCTGCCTCGTCGTCGCTGATCTCCTTGTCACGTTCCTTCTCCACCTACACAAAAAATTAACTTTATAAGTCCACCAACAAAAGAAGTTTCCATCTTGAATCTGGTAAAAAGGTCATTTTTAGCACTTACAAACAGGGTGATGGGATAGCCAATGAACTGAGAGTGTTTTTTGACAATCTCCTTCACTCTCTTGTCCTCAACATACTCAGTCTGGTCCTCCTTCAGGTACAAAATGATCTTTGTTCCACGGCCCATAGGCTCACCTGTGAAGAGAAATGTTCAGAATATTATAGATGACACATACCAAGATTTCTCAGCTTTGCTTCACCTTTGAGGATACACACCACTGTCAACCTTGACTGTGAAGGAGCCTCCAGCAGAGGACTCCCAGGCGTACTGCTCATCATCGTTGTGCTTGGTGATAACAACCACTTTCTCAGCAACGAGGTAGGCAGAGTAGAAACCCACACCGAACTGACCAATCATGGAGATGTCAGCACCAGCCTGGAGGAACACAAATTTGTATAATGATGCAAGTAAACCGTCAAGACATTTGTCTTCAGAAAATAGTTAAGATTTTTTTTTACCACTTTTCTGACAAAATTCATTTCAATTAAACCATTCCCATATTGCAGTCTCCAGTACCTGCAGGGCTTCCATGAAGGCCTTTGTGCCAGACTTGGCAATGGTGCCCAAGTTGTTGATCAGGTCAGCTTTGGTCATGCCAATTCCGGTGTCGATCAAGGTCAAGGTGCGGTCAGCTTTGTTGGGGATGATGTCAATTTTCAGATCTTTGCCGCTGTCTAGCTTGGAGGGGTCAGTCAAACTTTCATAGCGAATTTTGTCCAGAGCCTGAAAGGATTGCAGCAAGTCAATATTTTACCCCCTCAAGTGAATCAAATGATGTATGTAATCATGTTACTGAAAGCTTTGAGTGTCATTTCATGTTAGCCTTACATCAGAGGCGTTTGAGATCAACTCCCTGAGGAAGATCTCTTTGTTGGAATAGAAGGTGTTAATGATCAGGGACATCAGCTGAGCGATCTCTGCCTGGAAGGCAAAGGTCTCAACCTCCTCCTCTTGGTGCATTTCTTCAGGCATCTGCGCACAAGCAAACAGTTTAAATATTGAACCAGCAGCAGAATAAAAAAAAAAACCAAGAAATTGCGGGTAATTCTGTTTAACGCAATACAAATTGTCACTTTCGATTTCTCCAGTCTGGAGCTGGTTTCACAAAGTTGGGACAGTTGCCAAAGTCTTACAACGCAAGGGCGGAAGTATCAATAAAACATGGCTCCTAAGACTAGAGACAATGGACGCTGCAAGCACGTGCTAAGGAGCGGAAAAGGCGGAAAAAAACCGGATTGCTTAAAAAAAAACAGAACGACTAAAAATCAGTTAAGACTACAGGAAAAATAGTTGACAGGATTACAAATTATTTGACCAAATGTGGCGCAAAAACGAGGGTCTATAGATTATTACGTAACAGCTAAACGAACGTTGCCCTCCCCAGATTCATTGCACGCGAGCATGTTAAAAACCTCACGTGAACTGGTCGGACCTGACGAGATGAAGGAGTTTATAACGGCTCTTGACCGTTGGAGGACTCGGCTCCAGCTGTGTCACGATCACCACACCTGCCCGACATCACGGTGCCGCATTCATACAGCTCAGCATCACCGCTGACCCGGTCCGTACGTCGTTCAAATACGCAACGAAACTAATCCAAACGATTCAAAACGTATTAAACTGACACCCACGAGGCATTTAACATTAAATGAGACCAACTCGTAAACGGGCATTTGCGGAACATTATGTTAAATATTAAGAAAGTGAGTACGAAAAGCTGGTATTAAGCGGACAAAATATTTGTTGAACTAGTTGGGTAAAAAAAACGTACGTACCTTGTTAATTTCGTTGACTTTTCTTGAATAAAATGCAACAAAAGTGTTGTCCCCGCGCTCACGGACGATGGAAAAAAATGAAAGGAACTTCTTTCCTGTAACAGCGGGTCTTTATAGACTACACGTGGGTCTGGAGTGCGGTCGTATCCATCCGCGACTTCACAGTCTGCTGGAGCTACACTGAAGAAATTAAACTTTTAATGATAAACCAGTTAAAAGAAACGGTGTGAATGTTTTAGCTCAAGTTATAAAGTGTTATCAGTGTTTAAAAAAATATTAGAGAATACACTTTGGTAGCTCTCTCAAAAAGTCAACAAATCCTCATTAAAATAAAACATGTATACACTTGAGCGCCAACACCGCCATCTTGCGGTAGTTTCGACTGCAGCAAAATATTTACTAAGACGAGATTTTTTTGTACTTCATAGAAATCATCGAGGCAAAGTTATTCGCATAAAAATAAGAAACCAGTTTAATCAGTATTACGCAGACACCATTATTTCTCTTTAAATTTGACGAGCATTGTAGATCTCTTTTATCTGACGGAGGAATATTTAAAACGAGGGTGGTTGTACTTCGTTTCTTCTAGCACTTTCCATGAAAAACCCGCCTCACGGTGACGTCACGGGATTTTCAACGTATCCCTCGCAGCACGTTAACTGTCACAAAATGTACCTACAACAAAAACGCCATAGCAACTAACAACTCTACACTTTGATGCACTGAAATGTATAAAGATAAATGCTTTATACCGTCAAGGACTCTATGTTATTATTACAGAAAAGGAAGCAACAGATACAAACAGCTAAAAGGAACATCAACAACTCTATTTTAAAGAAAGATGTTTTTTTTTATATGTTATTAACAGAACACACTAGTATTCAATTGTATGAAATGAGTCTTATCTAATTTTCATCTATTTGCTTTGTGCCTCCCACCAATTTGTCTTTGCACTAAGTGCAGAAACACACAATTGTCTTCAAATGTAATTTTAATAATTCAAACTTTAATAGAATATATTTAACTATATTGTATGTCACACAATGAAATCATTGGTGCATATTCTTATGTTCAAAAGTAAAAATAAATAAATAAAAAGACCACAATAGAAAGAATAAGCAGAAAATCTGTACACATTGCTTGTAAATTATATTTACAATTAAAGTGGCACAAGTAGCAGTGATTGAAACTATTGCACAGATGCAGCAGTTGTAATAAACATTTTCTATGGTTGATGTGTCGAAGGTCACAGCAGCTTCTGATCCAGTTGGTTTTTCCTGAGGATCCTCAGGAAGTGTAGCCTTTGAAATCGTGGCTTTGCTGTCACTGCCTCCATCACATCTCTCTGGATCTTGATGAGGTCATGGTCCACTCTCGGCCTTCAGAAGTCCATGATGACATTTCTTAGTTTCTGAGGTGTTCAGCAGCAGCAGGTTGCTGGCTAAGCATCACGTAGACAAATACCCCATCTCCTCTCTGTAGGCTGCCTCGTCCCCTCCAAAACATCCATCTATCCATCCATCCATCCATCCATCCATCCATCCATCCATCCATCTAGCGGCTCTACTTCCTGAGGCGAGCTGGACTGGGAAGCTCAGTCCTCACCTCCTTCTACAGGTGTGCACCAGCATCCACGTGTGGCATGGAGGCTGCACAGCTGCAGAACGAAAAGCTGTGCAGAGAGTGGTGAAGGCTGCACAGAAGTCTGTTTGAGTCAGTCTCCCCACCATCACAGACATCTACACCTCCAGATGCAGGAAGAGGGCCACCTGCATCATGAAGGACTCCACTCACCCAGCACACACATTTTTTGCCCCGCTCCCCTCAGGCAGAAGTTTGCAGAACATTAAGTGTAGAACCACTAGACTGAGGAACAGCTTCTACTTTGAAACTGTTAGACTCATAAATCCCTATTCCAAAAAAATCACTGTAATGCAACTTTTATTGGTGATATGCAATTTCAACTGTGCTGCTGATTGTCCATGCTGCTGATTTCTTGCCTTTAAGCTGCTGTATTCATACCCATCTGCTCACGGACTCATGATCAGGCTTCTGTTCAATATACTGTATTGTTTTATATCATTATTGTTTAGCATATATTCATTCAACCTTTATTTAGACAGGCAAATCCCATTGAGCCTCGAGGACTCATTTACAAGAGAGACCTGATTTCAACAAAGAAAGATGACAACGATGGACAACAGCGACAACGACAATCATAAAAGAGGTATACAGATTTTCTTTTTCTTTTTTCTACAAATTAAAGTAAGATGGCAAAAAAACAAAGTAGCAAAAACAGCTAGATTATAAGGTGAATGTAGAAAAATACAAACAGGAACATGTCTGCATTGGTCCTTGCCAGGAGTTCAACAGATTCTTAAAGCCACTTAGAGAGGTCAAGGTCGAGAGCTTCAGGTCTTTTTGCAAGATATTCCAGGAAACAGGAGCGGAGTAGAAGGCCCTTTTATCTTAGATCCTTGTATACTGTTTCTTTTTATAGTTTATATTTTTGGGTGTAACTGGGTACACAATTTTGTTCCATCTCGTGTACCACATGTGATGTGAATGACAATAAAGAAACTTAAACCTTGATCTATCTATCTATCTATCTATCTATCTATCTATCTATCTATCTATC